CTCGGATTCTCCAGCATCTGCAGTTCCTACTATCTCTGATTCAATTTCAACCCCACTGCGAAGCCTCTTCTAAGGATGCCTAGCCTGAAGAAGTTACCCTCCTCCCTCCGGACAAACCTCAAGGGACCTCTCTCCCACTGCAACTCTCTATCCATCTTCTATCCGCCTCCCACTCTCTCCCTATTTATTTCAGAACCCCCTTCCCCTCCCCCTTTTCTGATGAAGGGTCTAGGCCCGAAACGTCAGCCTCTCTGCTCCTCTGATGCTGCTTGGCCTGCTGTGTTCATCCAGCTCTGCACCTTGTTGTCTAGGATCTCTCCAAATCCTTTTCTTGATGAAAAACTTTAGAAACCGAGTTTTCAAGCAAGCTATTTTACTATGAATGGCATCACAGCCAAACTTGATCGTGTCCTCACTAGACATCCACTCTGCTAAACATTTTCCAGCAGACATGGATAACATGAGGAACAGGAGCTCTGGCTGAACTTTTCTGTCCCTGCTCCAGTTGTTTTGAAGCCAGGTATAGCATCCTTAGCTATACAAGGTTTAAGATTGACTGAAGTTGATATCTTTCTGATTCTGTGCAACCTGCCCTGCATTCACCTCATTAGTGTAAGGTCCTAAATGTACACAGGAACATAGGAAATTCTCGATTTAAAAAAAATATAGACTGGGGTGCAGTTAGTTTGTCTGATGATAAAACAATCATTAGTTAGTGGCTAATCATGGCAATTCAGCTCTATTAATGAGTGTACAGCACAATGAGACAAGGAAAATGTGCCAGTGTTGGATATCTTTGGGACCTTAGGTTGCAAGTGATGTGTTCCTCCCAGGTATACTAAATTTACTTAATGTGCTGTCCCAAATAAATCACATATGATACCCTAAAATAATATTTTCTGATAGCAATCTATAAGATTTGTACACGAATGAGTCAATTTGATCTCTTCACCATCTCCTTGGAAAGCCTGTGTTTAGATTTACATTCACTCACTGAAAAGTTTCGTAGATTATTTTTGAAACCATTGTCCATCAAGCACAGGCCACCTCCTTTGGTTCCATTGTTCCAGACTGTCACGATTTGAATAATGTAATTCTTTAAAATCCTACGAGCAATTATGTCACCACTCTACCTTTTCCAATGACGACAAGTTCAATTTACATAATCACTCTTCTGTATTTAATCCCTGTATTACCTTAATCATTCTGGTTCTCTTCTTGAAGAGCTGCAATATTATTTTTGTACAAAAGTGACCTGAACACTGCTCATTGTTCTCTACACGTGCTCACATAAGGTGACAGGATAACCTCACTATATCAACCTTTTAGTGCATCCCGACATCTGATTGATTTCCACGTTGAATTGGGTATTATTAAAGCAGCTTCAAGTTATCCTCAAGTAATATTCACAAATATCTTCTAAGGTCCAGGACTACATGCTGAGGGATGCATTAAAGCTAGGGGCAGCTGCTGCCAAGGTGCAATGGGGAAAGACCACTGTCTAAGCTCTTTCTGCATAAGCTAAAAGATATATAAAGTAGAAAAGTTACCCAGAAAACCATAGACAAGTGAGTTTGACTGGTAGATTTAAAGTTATAGAAATCTTCATTAAATATTATGGAGCATCTGGATAGAAATAAAATGACAAAGGATGACTACAATGGGTCAACGCAGAGGAGAGTTTGACAACTGAATGTACGGCTTTTCTTTGAGTGACAAAAGGGAAGGGTGAAATAGAGGATGTGAGGTACTTGGATTTCAGAAAGGCCTTTGGAGTAATTGCTCCAGAAACTCTGATACTGAAAATAAAGCAAGTGGAATCCTTGAGATTTTTTTGTACAATATTTATGTGATTGATTGACAGGTTGAACTTAAAGGCTTCACCTGTTGGGGGAATGTTACAGCAGGGACCCAAAAGGAATTTATTTCTGGGAGGGAGGAGTCACACATAATGTGGCTAAATTAGCACTTGATATTAAAAATGATAAGCCACAAAGCTCAACAAGATAAACCACTGCAGCATTTGTACATATTTCAGCCTTGAGCAGACAGATGGTTGATGAAATTCAAATATAAAAATGGACAAATGAAAAGTGTTCACTTGGGGTCAAAGGTCCAGGAAGGAACTATCACTTGATGAAAATCACAGGTTGAAAGAAGTGCTACAGTGCAAAATGAGGCCATTGTATTTGGAAAGACCACTGTCTGAGGTCTTTCTGCTGAAGTTAAATGGAGGTCCGTTCAGTTATCAGACCCTCCCAGTGCCTCAAATATGTGTAAATATTATCTTACATAAGTAAGAAAGACCTTTGGCTTATTTGTTGGATAGAGTAAAACTCCAATGTTTGTTTGTTTTCTTCATTTGCTACTGTACAGAGCTGAACTGCTTTAGTGACTTTGTATGTATAATTACATTTTTATGAATAAACTATATTTTGAAATTTAAAACATCCACAAATATCTCTCATTTCTTGCATAAATTATATTATTTCATTGATAATTCAGGTGGAAAGAACAGTTAATAAAGGATAGAGTGTCCTGTAATAGGGCCATAGAGTGCAAGAGCAAAGAGGTAACGTAACATTGAATTTATTTAAACACTTGTTAGACCTCAACAGGAATATTGTGTACAGTTCTGGGCACCGCACTGTGGGAGGGTGTGAACATATTTGAGAGCTTGTGGAAGAGATTTACATGAACGGTTCCAGGGTGAAAACTGTCAATTACAAGGATAGATTGGGACTGCTCCCTTTGGAGAGAGGAAGGCCAAGAGGAGATCTGATAGAAGTGTTCAAAGTCATCAGGGGGCTGGATAGACTAGGTAGGGAGAAACTGTTCCCATTCATAAAACAATCAAGAATGAGAGGACACAGGTTCAAAATGATTTGCAAAAAAAAAATGAGTTGACAAAAATACTTTTTCCATTTAATGAGTGGCCCATGTCTGGAATGCACTGCCTGGAAACGTGATGGAGGCAGGTCTAAGAGGGCATTAGATGATTATTTAAATTGAAACATTGTAGGGGGCTTATGGGGAAAAGGCAGGAGAATGGCACTGAGTAATGATGCTCATTTTATACAGCCTTTCCTTTACTTCAAAATATACTTCATTCATAAAAATATCTTTATGCACACACAGTCACTAAAGCAGTTCTGTTCTATACAGTAGCATATGGAGGAATAAACACACATCAGAGTTTGACATTATCCAACAAACAAGTCAAAGGCATTTCCTACTTGTGCAAGATAATATTTACACATATTTGAGGCACTGGAAGGGTCTGATAACTGAATGGACCTCCATTTAACTTCAGCAGAAAGACCTCAGACAGTGGTCTTTCCAAATACAATGGCCTCATTTTGCACTGTAGCACTTCTATCAACCTGTGATTTTCATCAAGTGATAGTTCCTTCCTGGACCTTTGACCCCAAGTGAATACTTTTCATTTGTCCATTTTTATATTTGAATTTCATCAACCATCTGTCTGCTCAAGGCTGAAATATGTACAAATGCTGCAGTGGTTTATCTTGTTGAGCTTTGTGGCTTATCATTTTTAATATCAAGTGCTAATTTAGCCACATTATGTGTGACTCCTCCCTCCCAGAAATAAATTCCTTTTGGGACCCTGCTGTAACATTCCCCCAACAGGTGAAGCCTTTAAGTTCAACCTGTCAATCAATCACATAAATATTGTACAAAAAAATCTCAAGGATTCCACTTGCTTTATTTTCAGTATCAGAGTTTCCGGAGCAATTACTCCAAAGGCCTTTCTGAAATCCAAGTACCTCACATCCTCTACTTCACCCTTCCCTTTTGTCACTCAAAGAAAAGCCGTACATTCAGTTGTCAAACTCTCCTCTGCATTGACCCATTGTAGTCATCCTTTGTCATTTTATTTCTATCCAGATGCTTCATAATATTTAATGGAGATTTCTATAACTTTAAATCTACCAGTCAAACTCACTTGTCTATGGTTTTCTGGGTAACTTTTCTACTTTGTGTATTTTTTAAACAATCTGCCTTTCTCCAGTCGCCAGGCACCTTTCCAATATTCAGTGATTCTTGAAAGACACGTCAAACTTCCTGCAATTTCTCCCTTTTGTCCTAGGTCCTCATGAGAAGTACCAGATCAGATAAATTGGAGATAGCAAAAACTGCAGATGCTGGAGTCAGAGATAACACAGAGTGGAACTGGAGGAACACAGCAGGTCAGGCAGCATCAGAGGAGCAGGAAAGTTGATGTTTCGAGTCAGGACCCTTTTTCTGAACCTTCTTGCTGCCT